TGGAGATCTCGCAGGTGGTCCAGAAACATCTCGTCTGTTATGTCCAGATCGACACCGGTGGCCACCACTGAGTACGATGGTGTGATGTTGCGTTTTATGTTGGTCATAAGTGGTGGTGTTGTGTTAGGGTATACCTTATACGACGTAACTACGCCTTGTTGGGTGAGATGCTCTAGAGCTTTTGTCGTTCGTTTTGATTACAAATGTTGATTCCTTTTTCGTAATGATGTCTTTGTTGACTTCTTCCCATTTAATTGCTAGTTGTACTCTCGTTAATGTTGGTGGTGCAATTAGGCCGACTGTTGATTTCTATGTTGGATGTATTGGTTGCTGTTTTGTCACTGTAGCTGTGGTTGATGTTGCCGGTATTGTCCCCTTTTTGGCTGAAGTTGAACGAGTTGCAGGATGCAGCATCTCCAGCGCTGGCCTCTTCTGATCTTGGGTAGATGTTGTTAGTGAGGAGGGCGGTTTTCTACCTCTTTTATTTGATTTAGGCTTTTTAAAGCCGTCGTCCTGGGAGGCCGTGTCCGATTCGGACGGTGAGCTCCCGGAGTGCATTTCACTTTTGGGACAGACTCCGTATTATTAGTTGTCCCAAAAAAAAACTACCAAAATTCCTCACAGTTTGCGAATATTTAAAGTATTTATATACGCTCGCACTGGTACGTCCGTATGCTAATGAGGTTAAAGCGCGAATCCTATATATATTTTAAGTCAAGAAATCTGAAAGACTAACAATTGGTTCTCAAGTATATAAACAACTAGACAAAAGAATAGGAAAGATTAACCAAACAAAACTAACCCAAATTCTAGAAAACAACGGAATTGAAATTGAAAACTCGAAAACTAAAAGAAAAAAATAATTCACGTAAATGAGACTAAAATAAAACCCGTTGTTCCAAATGGAACAAACTCTTTGGCATCGCCGCCATCGGAATAAAACTCCACAACCTAAACGAATACCCAGGCATACTTCCTTATAAACTAGGTACAACAAAAATATTGACAAACTACTGGTCATTAGTCCATATTCACGACCTTTCACCAATAACTTCTGAGTTTAGTTCAATAAAAATTCTTGCCAATAAAGTTATTAAACAAATTGAAAATACTACTGATTACAACAAGGAATATAGAAATTCATTTTTGCCCTTGTTAAACTTGGAGAAAAGAATCGAAACTAGAATCAATCAAATAAATCCAATCGATTATTCGCAAAGACAAAAGCGCAGAATTATAGACCCCTTAGGAAGTCTAATAAAATGCATAACAGAAAACTTGGATAAAACAGACGCTGAAAAATTTGGAAAACAAATCAAACAGTTTATTGAGTTTCTTCTGAGGTACTCAATTGATCACACAGGGAAATGATAATAAATGTTTATTGAACGTGATAATAACAAAAGACAAAAAACGTTAGAATATCGTGACGACCAAGTAAACGCAGTTACTTTCCCGGAGGTTGTCACTTTACTAAAAACAACAACGTCGCAGCCGTCAGTGCATCCCTAAACACATGATGCTACCTGAGGACCTAAATACAAGCAACACAATTGAGAAAGCTATACCTAACTTACACTGAGACATTAAAAATAACATATTTTTATTCAACACTCCCACTTAGTTTTAATGTCGGTAACATTAACTTTTCCTCTTGGGTACATAAATTGTTGCTTTGGGAGAGGCTTAGTAAAAATATCGGCTAATTGCTCTTTGGTTGATAAATACTTAATTTCTACTTCGCCGCGATCAGCATTATCCCGCGCAAAATGAAACTTTACGTCGATATGTTTCGAGCGCTTATGATCGGTCGTATTTCCCGAAATCTTTATGGCTGCCTGGTTATCAACATACACGGCAATGATTT